TGGTTTACCGCTTCATGGCAGACATTTTATGTTTACGTCTTGAGTAATGTTCAGATTTGCTAACCTTTCGTTATGTTAGGGGATGTTTGAAAACCAGCAACAATTAAGAATGCATGATCATATAGGCTGTCATGGCTTATAATGGAAGTCAATGGGGCAAAAACAGCCCCGAACATAACGAAAGGGTAGTCAATCTTTCCAGAGTATATTGCTAAATTTTTGAACATTTTTCAATTAAATTTAATTCAGCTTTTTTTGCCCTTTTTTTTGCCAAGTACAAATTACATTATTTATACAGATACATTTTTTCATATAAACCCACTTCAACAAATCCTAACACTGCCTAATGAAAGTTAGTGAAAAGCAAAAGCAATCATAAAAATAATAATAATAGAGAAAAGCTGCAAAAGTTTATTTAAAAAAATTATAAAAAATTATAATAATAATTAAAATAAAAAAATAATAATAATAGTAAATAAATAAATAGATAACAATAATGGGTGATACAATCAGGCATAATGCTGTGCTATCTTACATAGACATAGACTAAGCATGAGCACAGAGAAAGAAAAGACAAAAGGATTACAGAAAAAAGATTACAAGATTAAGACAATCACATTAGTCACCAGGAAGTACATTTATTAATTCCAGCTTTAAATCAATTAATTCAATATATTCACATTTTTATTTTATTTAATTTCCATGTAAATCATTTGATTTATTTTTATTTCATTTAATTTCATTTAAAACCATCTCCACTTGTGTGTTCTCCTCGGACTGTGGTTTTTACATAGGGCTTGTGGTTTGTAAATCAGGCCACTTGTGTCTCTCAGACCTGATTTTGACACGCTGGAGAGATCTGGACTGCTCTTGTTCTTAACAAGACGAGCACTCTCAGAAACTGACCCAGTAAATCAAGCGGTCAAGCTGTGTTTTGGCTCTGCTGACCCGCTCGGCGGCTCTGAATGGCCGGTCAGTCTTATCCGAGAAGCTATTATGGATCCGGCAGCCGTTATGGGTCTGGTGTTTCTCTATCAGGCCTTCAGCGCTAATCCCAGCAGATCCTGCAATAAAGGAGGAACATCGGGTCTCCAATATCAGCTCAGCAATAATACTTCAGAACATCTCCGAGTCCGGCTTCAATATTCCTGCTCCGTCTGTCTGAGAGAGAAACAGCACACGTCTGCTGACACACATGAGGAGAAATAAAGAACAGATTAAGGTTATCGGAGGGGTCAGATTCATATGTTGAGTGGTTGCTAGGGTGTTGCTAGGTGGTTATTAATTAATTTTGAGTGACTCTGGGGTGTTAGTGCTGTAAGGAGTTCCATGTGTGTTAAATGGTCGCTAGTTGTTCCAAATTTGTTCTGAGGTGTTGCTATGGTGTTGCTAGGTGCTTCTAAATAGATTTTTAGTGGTTGCTAGGGTGTTGCCAGATGGTTGTATATTTGTTTTGAGATGTTGCTATGATGTTGCTTGGTGCTTCTAAATGTGTTTGGGTAGTTGCTAGGCTGTTGCTACTGAGTGGTTGCTAGGGTGTTCCCAGATGGTTGTAGATTTGTTTTGGGTTGTTGCTATGGAGTTGCTATGTGGTTCCAAATGTGTTTTGAGTGGTTGCTTGGGTGTTATTAATTAGTTGCTGATGGGTGGTTGCTAGGGTGTTTTCAGATGGTTGTAGATTTGTTTTTACTTGTTGCTATGGTGTTGCTAGGTAGTTCTCA